TATGAAACTCCCAGTTGAGAGCCAGGATTTCAGAAAAATGTGCCTGCATTTGCACACCTAAATTGCCCTGTTGTATATGCAAATGACAAATGGACATCTATCTATTGGGCTTGCATGGGCAATCTTAACATTTGTGTGTCTTTCTGCATTTAATTGCATGTGCACTTTCCTGAAAATGACTTAAAATTATTGACAGAAGAAATTAATGGAATTTCCTTCAACTTAGTTAAATTAAAGTAAAATCAAGAAGTCCAGTTTAATTGATAGCTCTCGTGGGCAGGGCTGGCTCCAGGCACCAGCCAACCAAGCATGTGCTTGGGGCGGCGCCTGGAGGGGGGCGGCACGGCGGGGCGCTCCGGCCCGAGAGCGGCGCCGCGACCGGGCTCGCCGCCCTCCCCGCGGCGCTCCGGCCGCCAGGGGCTCTCTGGCCGCCAGGGAGAGCGGAGAGCCCCAGCCGGGCTTGCCGCCCTCCTCCTGGTGCTCTGGCCACCGGGGGCTCTCTCGCCGCCGGGAAGAGCGGAGAGCCCCAGCCGGGCTCTCCGCCCTCCCCCCGGCGCTATGGCCACCGGGGGCTCTCCGCCCTCCCCCCGGCGCTCTGGCCGCCGGGCGGGGGAGAGCGGAGAGCCCCTGCCGCAATGGGGGGGGAGCGGCTGCTGGCTTTTTTGCCTAGGGCGGCAAAAAAGCCAGAGCCGGCCCTGCTCGTGGGTTATGCGAAATCTGTTGGCACAGCCATTGGTTATATCATGTGTGTAAACAGTTTCTTAGAACTCTGTCAGGAAATGCTTGTTTTTGGTCATGCAGGATTTTTCTTTAATTGTTGTAGATCATGAAAAATGTAATCAGATTACAGACTGCTATAGCTGTACAGCAAATACAAATAACTGTCAATGGTGCACTGACCAGTGTATCCTAAAGCATAACAACTGCACAGAAGATCAGGTAAAGGTGTTTAAATATCACTCTAAAAATGTTAATCTCGCTATGAAGTTTCAAATGTCAGGAAAACTAATCACAATTAGTGTCACAATTACCTCTATGTGTTTCTGCTGTGAAAGTAACTGTAACTACAAACATCTGAATTTCTTGAGGAGGTTCAGTGGCTTTTGGATCATATTATACTTCTCACTACTTAGATAGCTGTATCCTAAAGAGACAATGGGAAGGGGCAAGGAAAGATGAGGGCATCAGTATGATTTATTTGATAAGGCATATGCACATCTTGATAATTCCATTCATAAGGTCAAAAAACCCTTGATTCCCTCCTCACATCTTATAAGCAAGATGGCACAATTAATTTAAGAGGGACTTGAGCATGGTGAGAGGTGGCTTAGCATGCAGATTTGGGGAAGAAATTCTGAACATGATACATCTTTTGAAAATATTGGTCCTTCTATAGACTTAATTTGTTGCCTCTTCTACAGAATTATAGTGGTGGTCTTCGTGAGTGTGAATAAACATGTAAGAAAAAAAGTTTAAACATGCCGTGTGTTTTAGGTACCCATTACTGAATATGATAAATGCCCCAAGGATAACCCTGCATATTATTGTAACAAAAAGACAAGTTGTAAAAGCTGTGCCATGGATCAGAACTGTCAGTGGGAGCCCAGGAATCAAGAGTGCATAGCTTTACCTGGTACGTATATATTGTATTTAAAAACAAATACTAAATCCCTAAATCCAAAAACATTCTTTATTTTTCCTCCTCAAAATCTATGGTATGTTTTTAAGATTACGGTGAGGTAAGGACTGTTCTTTGTAAGGAACAATTAATTTTATGTATATGTTAATGTTATGTGAGATTTGCTTTGAAATCCAACTGAAATCTTAGACTGGCATTTCTGGTATGTTCATTCCAAATTAGATATGAAGCTTAGTATTATTAATATTATTATAAGTGGTAATTAGGGCTGTCAAATGATTTAAAAAATTGCAATTAATTGCAAGATTTAAAAAAAAGTTGCGATTAATCAATTTTAACTGCACTGTTAAACAATAGAACACCAATTTAAATGTATTAAAGCTATTTTTTGACTTTTTTCTACTTTTTCAAATATATTTATTTCATTTACAATAGAGTACAAAGTATACAATGCTCACTTTATATTATTATTTTTATTACAAATATTTGTACTGTAAAAAAGAGATACAAAAGAAATATTATTTTTCAGTTCACCTCATACAAGTACTGTACTGCAATCTCTTTATTGTAAAAACGCAACTTACAAATGTAGACTTTTTTTTTAATGTAACTGCACTCAAAACCAAAGCAATGTAAAACTTTGGAGCCTACAAGTCCAAGCATGAAGGGGCGTACAAATGTTTAGCGTATCTGGCCCGTAAATACCTTGCAACACTTACAACAGTGCCAGGCAAATGCCTGTTCTTACTTTCAGGTGACGTAAATAAGAAGTGGGCAGCATTGTCTCCCGTAAATGTAAACAAACTTGTTTGTCTTAGCGATTGGCTGAACAAGCAGTAGGACTGAATGGACTTGTATGAGGTTTTGTTTATCTTTTTTACAGTGCAAATATTTGTAATAAAAATAATAATTTAAAGTGAGCACTGTACACTTTGTATTCCGTGTTGTAATTGAAATCAGTATATTTGAAAA